TATCAAAGCCTATTAACGATATTTCAACGGTGAAATCATAACTAGCATTTTGAAGGGTGTTGGTAGCACGAAAAGTACGGTTACTTCACTGAATTTCCGAAAAAAATTTTGAAAGTGATAACAGTAGTGATAACCCTTCCTAAGTTACTGTCTGTGCATTTTAGCTTTTAGATACTCTCTGTACGATAGAATCAGACAATGCTAGTCTTCATTATTCTCATATAAGATGTGTCAAAGACAAACAAATAGGATTATAATTATTGCAATTGACGGTGTGTCTAAATACATGTGGAGATATAGTGTTAACTTCTATTATATTTTCTCTCCATATTTTTTTCCTGTTCCACTCCCTTTTGCATATTACTCGATTCTGTTTACTAATACTCAGTTACTCGTTTAATTTCCCATAGCGTTTGAGCATATAATGCAACTTATAACTTTCATAAAATATTCTTGAGTATTTACATGTGCCCATTATATTTAAAGTACAATTGTAATCGTGCCTTCTTAGAGCCTGGAATATAGGTCCTTGATTGAAATGTATCTGTTAGACGTTTGTTTTGTTGTGTCAACCTTGTGAAATGCCACTGAACTCAAGCCAAACTGTCCATCAAGCAGTCCGGTGTATGTCAATGCTCGGATGCGAATAGCTTGCCATTCGGAGCCACCGCAATTTCGAATTCTGCCAAAAGGAGTATTAGCAAGCATAATTGGGACACATCAAATGATACTCGCTTGGTCGAAACACAAGTTGATGTGAAGTTACCTCAAATAAACAGAGAGTTGCTTGACGTACATGGGTCAACGGAGGAAGAATGACCTAGAAAGAGGTATGTTAGAAGTGAAACTTCAAGAAAGGGATTTTATTCTGTCCCTCACCCTCGGAGTGACAGTGCGCTGGGAACGTCTTCAAAACTGGATAGCAATGCAAAGTCATTTATGGCCTTAAAGTTAAGAACTTGAACACCTAAGTCATCGAGTATCGCCCAGGATTCCACAGTGTGCGTAGAATGACTGTGATTGCTACTCAGTGAATGTTGATGAATAGGTACAGATCAAGAATAAGAAACGACCTAGTGTTACTAAAGAAATTTCAATACACCAAACGGTAGCTGAGAAATTGGAGACTTATCGTAGTTTATAAACTAGGTAGCCAAATGGACTTGTGACAGAATCAAATCAGGCCGCTAAAAGTAGCATCCAAATAAGTGAGTGACATAAAACTAGAGAATCGACATAAACCAACGTGATCATGAGTATTTGTCCGCAAAGAATTGTTGCTAGTGGACCGTATGAAAAGACGAGAAATTGAAAAAAGTAAAACTAGGGCGAGATAATCGCGAGAAGGGCCTTAGAATTGAAGGTTTTTGGGTGGTAACGCCTTGACATATGATGACGCTGAAGCTACTCTGTGTGCAGCACTAATCAATTTAAATGTTCTTCGGATCTTCTTCGAGTCCTTATTACATCTCATAATAACCCATTATGAAGATGATAGCCCAATCCTCTATTATGCGCCATGCCTAGGTAAAAGTGGTCCTACAGTTCTAGACTTTGGTTTCCATGTAATTTTCGATAATGAGGATGTGTCAGCTCAATTAAGACCAAACGGCTGGAAAGCAAATATGCAAGATATTATACATATAGCTTCCTTGGTAGATTGGTCAATAGAACGGGAATCCCTCGTTGAAACGATTTGGGATGTGGTGGGGAATTTATGGGTAAAGGTCACTGCACCATACATGCCTTGAACTACACCGAGGGGTTCGAAAAACTCCACCGTGGTTCAGTAGACAGTTTAGCACCCTTCTCTGTAAGAGGCGAAGAACGTGAGAGAGACAGGTTAATGGATACTGACGAAACGAAATTTTAATGTTGGGAAGCTCGAAATATTTTTACCTCGACCCTCCGCCAATCCAGCAGGTTGTGCGTAGAAGAACATGTCAAAAGACCTACTACAGGACCAATGGAAGATGAAACATTCCAGTATCATGGAAAGACAGTAGTACTGCGTCATCAGTGGAGGAAGATTATAGTGAAGCTCGGTTATTCTAAAATTACTTTGGCAATGAATATACCGCGGCGATACACTGCTCTTCAGCCTGCTCCCATACACACATACTAGACGCTGTCTTTTGTCTATTAAATGACCTTGACATAGGCAAATCCATGGATTACTATGGGAATTAGCAAATTGTGTCGCGAGTCCCTTAAGTATATATTTTAATCTATCTGTAACCCAGGGTCGATCACCTAGAGACTAGGACAGTGTTATAGTAAGTCGTATCTTTGAAACATATACGAGACATAAACCTGAGAACTATAAACTCGTGAACCTAACTAGCGTAGTTTTTAAAATCTTAACAAAGATTATTCAGGAGGCGTTGTCTAAGTATCTCGACGAAAACCGGGTTCTTTCTGAAAATCAGCATGACTTTAGAACCGGTGATTTTTATCTCACTAACCGAACTTTACCTATAAGTGTCATCTACATCAACTTCATTAAGGTTTTTTTAAAAAGTTTCTCACAACCAACTGTTATATAAATCAAGTAATATCGCATTTGAAGGCGATTTGTCAATGCGAATAAAACACTTTAGGTAGTTTTAAACTCGAAGTCACCACGTAAACCTAATGTATCGCAAAATGGAATAACAGTCATGTTCACGTTCATGTGGTTATTTGACTTGTCATATTATGATTATTTTTTATTAAGAAACTAGTATGTGCTGTGAATTTTGCTGTGGCTGTAATTTTTATTTGCCGCCTCTGACTGTGTTACGCCGGATATAAATTGCACCCTGGAATAATGTTTTAAGTTATAATTAGTTTAATCACATTGTTGTTTTTAAGTAGACCTTCAGTAAATAACGTTACTGGAGAAAGAGTCATTGTGCTGTAAAATACTGTAAACTGTTGCCTTCATTTTAAAAACAGTATCTCTTGTCCTCTGTTAAGTCATACTGGCCTATAGTTTGTGTTCTGAGTTTATGGGCTTAGTTAACTACCTTGAGTAACATGTATGTGCAAATGAAACAATAAATATGACACATGCTTAATTTAGTATTCTTGGTTATCGTGTAACTAACTTCGTTAGATACAATCATACTATACTTCGATATAGTGTTTGGGGGATATAATGAAGGCGATCAGTTTAGTAAGTAGAGTTACTCACCCATTTCCTTTAGCATGCCACAACCAGAAAACGACCAGTGTGAAATTATGTATGCATTACGGTGTATGTAACTCCAGGAAGATAATGTTGTGAGCTTAGACTTTGTGCAGAATAGGAGGAATCACGAGGACGTTATATTGATATATCATGTTTACATTTATTTATACATCACTTTTAAGACTGATGCAACTCCAATACCAGCCCGCTTTTAATGAGTATACCGATTCTAATCAATCTGCTTGCAAATATGAAGAAAAGTAGCATGAATGCTGTTGTTGCCATGTATTATAAGGTAGCGTTCATTAAGTGCACTTAACAACCAGAACCAAATCACGATTATGAATCTGTTTGATGATTAGGCGCAGGAATTAAATTTCGGGTTTTCATCGAGAACTGACATAAGCTTTAATGGCAAAAATCTATTTATCCAAATTGGTGAGTGAATTTCGCGCCGAAATTCGAGACCTGTTATCTTATACATGATTATTTCGTCCATAAATTATAGTCTCGCCTACGTCTTCGTTATTTTCTTAGAAAACCTACACTCCGGGACTTCTTATAACATATTCCAACCAGCATGACTTGTCACGGAAGTCTGTGAATGGACACGCATCTAATCCCATAGATGCTTGATGGGATGCCCTGATATGCAAGCAGTGCCTTTACTAGACTTGCGGAGTACTAAGAACATGGTGATATCTACAAAATAATACTAATAATAAAACGGATTAAGATTTTATGGCATAAGACAAGCGAGCTTGCCTGGAGAAATAGACTGACTTTAGTAGCAGCAGAAAAACCCTAGAAAACTAGGCCGATTCAAAGAAAATTTGTGACAACACTTAGAGCATTACACTAACAACGGATATTTCAGCACTGCAAAACACCTAATTAAGCAGCGACAGAAAAAACAGTGGGAAAAAACGGAACGAAAAAAATTGACTGCCGATGCTTACAAAGGTGTTGGATATAATAATTTCCACTTCCATGCAAACTGCTACAATTACGAAATCGAGTTGAGTTTAACTGCAGCTAGGACCTCTCAGTCGAGCGTCAGCAAGGTGTAAGGCTCTGCTTAGATGATTAATCTAGGCATCCGTACGATCTTTTTTGAGTCATCCTTAGCTAAGACTTCAAAACTACCGCACACTGCTGTGGGATAGCCGACAGAGGTTTTAGAACCCTATGGTCAATATGTAAGGCCTTTAGCCATGTCGATGCTAAAACACTTTTGATTTCGTATACAGTACTCGTTCGTCCTAAACACGAGTATTGCATACAAGTGGCTAGCTCCTGCCAAAATGAGGCAGTGAGTTGTCGGAAAGGGTTCGCAGAACCGCAACTAAGCTAATTCTCGGGATGGTAAAGCTCCTGTATGATGCCCGACTGGCCAAACTGAACCTATTTCCATTGTCATATAAAAGAACGAGAGGTGACTCGACCACAGATTTTAGATTACTTAGTGGTAAATTTGCACCTGATATGCCCTCACTCTTCCTGTCTTTCGGAACAGAAAACTTACGAGGACACTCTAAAGCGTTCACAATCCCAGAACAGATCACTTGTCAGCTGACTATCGACTTCCCCATCGAGTCATCAACGAATGGTATGCATTAAATCAACACGTGATTGAAGCTCGATCTGTCTACGCTTTCAAAAGGAAGTTGAATCAACTGAGAGACCACCACTACCAAGACTAACGGAAGCTTCCTGATCTCCTGTCCTCTTCAAACTGGAACTGAATTTATTTACATCATCAGATAGCGCGCTCTAAATACTGTGTGCGTTACAATGTCATGAAAGGCAGTTCTAATTCCAGAGAGTTATGGCTTCTGAAGAACTCAATAACCTAGTTGGGAGCATAGTCATTTATTAGTAACAAATTTTCTTTTTTTACAGAGAAAACCATCTGCAAGACGTTCGAAGCCTAATATGGCGGCTCTAGTAGACCAGCAGAGGCTTTTCGAAAATCCTTGGAGTCGGAAGCCCTTATTCCAGCTAGAATCACTCGTACCAGTTGTATCTTTGCATGTAAGAGTGTTTCATAATGTTCTTGATACTGGTTTTAGGATGTAGGATCTCACCCAAGTAGTATTGAACGGGTTGATATGACTTCAACATCCCTTGCTGAAAAACGTTTCCTCAAACATCCATCTGTTAGTTTCAAAATACACAAGTTTTGTTTTGTACTCTTACTCTATTTTGTCACCCAGTTTTGAGCAATTGTACGAGGGTTCATCTTCCCGAAATTAGTTGACGTAAAAGTGATAGCTGTATAACTTACTACTGAAATGTTATGTTTAACAGTTTTTTAATATAGCCCTTCAATATGTGTAGCGATAAGCCTAGTTTCCTTGGTTATATGTGTCTGGATGCATCACTTGCGTAACGAAGTCTGGTCACACCGCTGATTCAGAGCTACTCAATTAATTCTGGGATCCTATTTTTTTCATTAACTGTGACCAGGAAGTCTTTCCCTTTCAACATGAATTAACCACATTCACTGGCTTAATAAAATGTTGGTATGTCTTAGTCGTGTAACTCAGCTTCCTACTACCTTCGTCGTACTTTGGTAAGCGCATCTACAGAAGTTTGAGATAACAGATCATGGTTCTTATCATGTGAATTAATAGTTATACAACATTAACTAGCTTCTACTTTGTTTGAGACTTTCCCATTTATATTAGCATCGTTTTCTTTGTGGTTTTGTTCTGTTTTAGAAATATTTCGAACACCCCTAGTCAAATATAATAAATATAGTGGTTTTTTAAACATTACATATATTAGTCTCGTCCCACAGCTTTTCGTTAACATATGATATATCACTTCTCGAGTGAGTTTATTTTGTAATAGTGGGGATCCGGGTATATCCAAACAAAAGTCTCTTAGGATAGCATTAATGTTAAAACCAGATTACTTTCAGCCTAATTAATGGGTATAAGCAGTTAATGAAGTGACTGCTTTAAATAGTGCACATTACCTAATCTTGTGAAACCTGGGAGTTGTGTTACTGCTAACCGGTCAAACAGCAAATAAATGTTCTATCGGTTTCTTACTTTGTACTTTTATTATTTCACATGCTGTCAGTCTGTTTTCGTCATATGATTTCATTATAAATTCTATTCAATTCGAATCCTTTTCCATCATTTTTCGGCATAATGTGCTTTTGCTGTACATGTTTAGAAACTTTAGCAGACCCTGTCTTTTACCAAATATTCTTTCTTAATTGTGTTTAGTTGGCTTGCCAACCTAAGTAATGTCAAGCTCAAGGCTAAGTGGCATATTTGTGATACCTTTTATTTATGGATATTCAATTTTTAAGCATATTTATATTGTCGATTGTTTCCCTTAGCACTCAGTTAAGTCCGTCAAGGATGGCGACAATATGACTGTAAACCGTGGCTCCCTATGTGTTTACTCATTTAATAAATTGGAAGCGAATAAGATTCATGGTCAGGTATAGTTTCCATGTATTTTTATTGCTGCATTATATAAATTACTACTATGAGGCAAAGTCCATATGGATTCGCCATATAAGTCTCTTTAAATGTTACCACGTGAACAAAATATTTAGAAGAATTAAACCAACATATAAATGATTACTTTACATGTGACAGCTAATAAAATGTTCTGGATATTTAGGATCTAATAACCTAGATCTTAAATATTTTATGTTGAACCACTAGCTATAGCAATTAAACTATTATTCTTTTTACCAAGTTGTTCCATTATAGTAAAACTTGTAGGAGGACTTATTCCTTCATCTCCTATCATATGCCTATATTCGTTTGGAAAGTTTCAAACTAACCTGGTCATAATATGAATCATTGGACGACGAAGAGTTTTTATGTTGTACCACAAACTAAACTAGGAGATGTCACAAAAAATACTGTCTTTCTTCTCTTCAGTCACTATTCTTAAATCTGCTAGTTCTTTAGTATGCGAGGGTGTTTCACGAAAGGTAGTTTACAAACTCATTAACAATGCAATCGACACTTCAAAATGGAATTTCGTCATTGTTATGGAGGAAACATTCAGGAGAACTGGCACATTATAAGCACACTTTGGGATTGCTAAGATTAGTGAGTAGAGTGCTGATTCCCAGAGGAGGAAAAGCCATACGATTTGGCGGACTTATAGTTACTTATAAGATCAAGTTTTATGTATAAGCCTCAAGTCAACTGATATCAAAGCAATGTACAATTGCTCTGTAAAATAGATTTGTTTCTTTTATAAAATATAATGTCTATATACAAAATATATAAAGAAGTGAATATTATCAGATTCCATATTTGCTATCGGAGGATAGTAATTTTTCAGGTCATTCACCAACTAATTAAATTAAGACCTGACTATCGATCTGAATTCTTACCAGTCATATCAGAGGGATATCATAGAAACGGAAAAGAATCAGTAAACCTTAACCGTTTAAAATAAGTTTTAAACCAGGTGGCTTAAAATTTCACTGATTTTTAAGTTGCTTAAAGGTAAACTTAAAAAGACGATATTTGTTTTCAGTCTTTGTACTCACTCATACTGATTGAATTTGAAGTGATGTAGGTTATAAGTTCTGCTAAAAGCTATGAACAATATTCACAGTGGTCATGTACAAATCTGATAACCTTGGTTCCAGCTGAGCTTTGATATTGAATTGTAAACTTTTTATCTCAAGATTAGTCTTGTAAAGCAATGATTTCAATGCTTGAGGAGAAAAATACTTTGGAAGATATTCTTCTTGATTTTGATTCGAAACACTGGAAGTAGTGATTGTGTAATACAGTTTTGTTGTAACAGTTGACCTTTCGTACTTTTTATTATCTACCACAAAAGGGCGACTGATGAGAATCTTACGTAGCTTGCATCTTTACGATTTACATTTATATAAGGTTTCTAAGTGGTCACTGTTTCTCCGAACAACGATCATGATTTAGTTCAGGCACCCATCTTTTTGTGCGTCCAGGTAAATGTTGGTAGCATCTCAGATAAGGAGATCAAACGAACGGTACTGGGTTCGAGTTTCGAAGTGAACTTCAACTCTGAGATGCAGATGACGAGTCCCAAATAGAACACAACGTACGTCTTGGATTCCACTGCTAGCCACCATCCATCCTTGCTTACAAAGCTTGTGACTTAAGGCAATATTGAGGCAGTCTGCACAGGATTCTCATAGGCCAACAAGAGACTGATCAATTGCAGTCCTAAACAACAATCGGAAGATACAAGCAAACAGTACCGAGTGAATTCATTGCAACATTGTTTAAACGTTACATTTATCTTAATTTAAAATAAAACTGAGAGGTGGTCTGTTACTTAAGATTAGTAAATGTTAAACAACATCGGTGCATAATGCATTTTTCTTCATTGCTTGTGAACACTAGAAAATAAGGAGCCAATACACAAATGACTTGACACCTCGGTAATAATTGAAGTTGTAATGTGAGTATTGAAAGTAACAAATTCATTCATAATGTGACAGTTTACAGTATTAACATTGATTTCTGTTGTTCAGTAACCCGTTCGAGGAAAGTAAACTTCGGAAGCAATGGATTAGCGATTTTGAGAAATCTTAGGTTAAACTTTCAGGTAACTTTCATTTTTTGACTCTCTGGTCAGAATACTGACCTAAAAGTTTTAACCGCCAATTAATTGCCTATGAGTTTGGGAAATGTAGTGTTAGTAGATAATTGGTGCTTTAGACAGTTCTATGTAGCTTTCGGAATGATGATCCTTAATTAATCGGGAAGTTGATATTAGTCTGATTATAAATTGTGAGGGTTTTGTTAACTGGTTTAATTCTTTTTTTAAAAAAGTAAATGAAATCTCTTTTTTTGGTAGTCATAAAAATAAGCTTGATAAACACTGCATTTGAAAAGATAGAATATTTCATAAGTCCCATCTGTAGCTGAGTTGTATCGACAGAAAACCAGGGGGGGAGTTTCTATTCTCATATCTGGCTTAGAATGTTTCTATTCACAGTTGATCTGATTCTGAAACAAGTTTAGATGTACAGACTTCACACCAGTCAATATAAAACTTGTATTTAAGACAATTAAGACTTCTGATCTTCATTTTTCTGCTCACAATAATATTGAGTAGGCAGTTCATTTCGTTTGTTCCTTTCTCCATACTTATATTAGCTTTTATGGATAATATTTTGTGAACTGACAAGAATCAGGAGCACAATCTACACTTTCCCATTTTCACCTTTTATTAACAGCTTAAATTAAGATATGAACATGTACGAACGATCTTTCGTCGATAAATATTTCATGAATCTCAATGATAAAAGCATAGTCTATCCAAGTAGAAGACATGTGTGGATTGCAGGTTTTTGATCATAGATATCTTGGAAGCTGGGGTATCACTCAACACCAAGTAAAAGGTCATGAGGTTAAGGCTAGGATATCATCGGTTGATAAAACTGAATTGTCAGCCAATTAGATGTTTGGAACGTATGATACGTGAACCCAACAGTGACGTCGACGTGCGATGTTAGAAAAAAGCTGGAGGTAGCCAAAAAAGATATGAGAGCTTTTGAAATCATTGACCGTTGTTCTGACCAACGTTGGTTACGCCAGATAATCACGACCATTAGTTAGAAACTGGGTAACGCTGTTCAAAGTTTCTCTTAATGACACTGACGCATTAACTCTACCTTTCTATCGATAACCAATGCCAGTATTTTCTCACATCTTTACACTTTCTCCCCTCAATTCATATTCTCAATATTTAGTTCCTAGTTTTGAGTGATAGCACACCAATTTACATCCAATGTTATTTGTCTTACTAATTTCATCCCGTTGAGCTAATGCAGTGTGACAACTTGGCAAACGCTCATTTACCCCAGGTTCTATGCCGATTATGGCTAACTGACTAATAGAATGATTCTTCATGTCTGACCTGCATGAAAGTCCTCGTTTGCAGTAAAGAGTGAATATTCTTAATTATGGAGTTGTGTCGGAAGTTTTACGCCGCTACTAGATAAAACCTGAATACAAAAACAGTCTTGTAATATGTACTGGGGAGATATTCTAATGTCTATTTGGTACCGAGTATACAACCTAGCAGTACGTTCTTTTTTGTAATACAGCTTTAAGATATGTATGTTAGTGAAATAAGATTTTTTGGTGCCTGAATATTGCTAGTTTTAATTTAT